AAAGGGTTGCACCTAGTTAAGTTTGATCAAATTTTGTGGAAATGAAAATTTTCCTAAAATTAAAAATACAAAACAATGTTTTTGGCATTCCTAAAAAATACTGAGCAAAATGTGGCATTTCAACAAAAGACAAGGAAGATTTAGTACTTAATTTAATCATGTAGATGTTAGTATATGCTAGATTAACTTAGTGCAGTTGCCACCCCTATGAGCAAGATTATATGAGGTATTAATTTTTTTTCCAATTTACTTGGGCTCCGAAACATGAAGAATCACCAAAAATTAAACCAAGTTCGAATCATGCTGCGTACTTATGCAAGAAAAAGTGCTTTTAAAATTTTCTTCGTCCACAATCTAAGCATTAATATATGTGAGATCAGACAGTCACGCACAAATTTGTGGAAGCCAACCAGGATATCTAAAAAAAATTCCCCATTTTGAGAAATAGGGTCTACGTATAGCAAGTTCAAAAAATTCGTACTTTTATCATTTTTTCCTAAAAACTACCATATAATAAAAGATCTCGGCCATCATAAAAAAGAACAAGGAGACAAATAACTCTAAAAATGCGTAGGCCAGAATCTTAAAAAATAAATTCAGACTCAGATAAGTTCTTTTCATTATCCAATATTGACGATCGATATTGGAATGATGCATGACATATTCCAAAACAGTGAGATGCGTAGCAGCTTCCGCCCTTTTTTATTTGAACAAAAATTGCAGGCACGAAATGCAGCAAAAGGCAGCTCCGGATCATTATAATTTAGCTTATTTAAATACTTTATTTGGAGAACTCTGCGTTAGGGTCCTAGCTATATTGTATAATTTTAGACTATTAAACATTTTTATTAAGTTACTGAATATATATATATATATATTTTGTATTTTGATAATGATTTTGTATTTTGATAATGATTTTTACTGATAGACTCTGATAGGCTTTTTTTTTTTTTTTTTTTTTTATATGTAACGTGAAATAAAAATGGCCCCCAACAAATCATGCTAATACAGATACTTCCCATATAGTACGAGTTTGCTATGTCATGTTAATGATTACTAGTGCACTTGCATAGTAGTTTTTACTTATTTCATTAATAAATCATAATTAGTCAACTAATTATTTGATTAACTCAACATGTGTCTTCACTTTATCTTTATGCATATGATTGAAAACTGTATATGGCCTTCACATGGGGATGTGTTAAATACTATTTCTACTGTCTGCCCTTATTATCACTTTTATATGGATCTAAGTGGCGGGGCCATGTATCTTTGTTGTTGTCCAGATGCAAGTTGGGTAGGATTTTAGATATCTTTAGTGGTCAAGATCTCTCATAGGCTTAGAGGAGAAATACATAGGACCACAATTGAAAAGTACTGCTGCTACTACTACTACTTTACTCTTGTTGCTTCCTTGTTGACTGAATTTAATTAATTGTTAGTGAACATTACAATTGGCTATTAACCAAATTAATGATCTATTGCAAGAGTTTCTTATTATGCTTGAATACTATATGTTGGATACGTGTAAAGCAAGCTTTGTCTCCAAAGTGTAGAATATCATTCCAAGATCCCTCAGTACTTTTGTATCTCCAATTATAACTAAATTTGTACCAAATTTTTTAAGTAGGGAAGAGGAAATTAACCAATTTAATTTAGTTAGACCTATATATAAATCTACCTATGTAGTTGCGGGCATCTAGTGAATTAAATTCTACACCTCTTAAATCTCCCACCGCAAGTTTTTTTTTTTTTTTTTTTTTTTTTTTTTTTTTTCTTTTTACGATACTGATGTCATAAAAATATCATTCTATTTTTTTTTCTTCCCCTTGTGTGGAAAACTATATGCGAGCTTTCCCTTGGACAAGTTTTGGATCCAGTGATAAATTTCAAACTGTGACCACCTGTGTAATCGCATTATGTCAAATCATTTAAAAGATTTATAATGCTTTTTATTGACCTTTTCATTTTTTAATATTTAAATTCATTTAATGATGTGTCAAAGTAGAATTGGTTAGACACCTTTAAAAAAAAGACAGCTGGTTTGAATCCGGTAGGTTTCAGAGTAAGTTGATAACTAAAATCCGTTTAGTTTGTTGATTCGAGGTTTTTAATTCGAGTTGAGATGTGACTTTATGTGAGAATTTTTACTGTAGTAAAAAAAATTAGATGTGACTATTTCTGAGAGTTTTTTACTGTAATAAAATTTAAATTTTAAACTCGAATCAGTGAAATAAACGGGACTTAAACTATTACAAGAGAAATGAATATATAAATATATGTATTATCATTACCGAACTAGAGCGATATATTTCAGTCTGATCAGTCGATGAAGTTAATGATAGTGTTCTCGAGTAAAGTCGAAAATATTCCGTAATTTGCATGTGCAAGCTTAACAAAACGTGCACCCAGCACTTTCTGAGCAGCGACAAACATAGTCACGGTTCACCACCACCACCACACTATTCACATTTCACAAAACAGTCGATTGACTTGACAATTATATACATATATATATATATTACCATTATTAATTACCAGTCATATAGTTTTTTTTTTTTTGTTTTTTGAGGAAAGGACAATAATATAAGAGGGAGGTAGATT